ACTTAAATGCAGTAATAACAATAATGATTCCAATAATGATAAATTAAACAATAGCAATTAATTCCCTCCTCGTCATCACTATCGTTATAACAAAGCAAACAATTATTGTAATGAGATTCATTACTGTTATATTAATGCCCATTAGACACAATTACTCCATTGACCATATAACAAAATAATGATAATTATAACACTGATAACCGAGTGCCTCAACCCCTTCTGCCTGCCTTGAACAAGAAGCAAATATTCGCCAGGCAGTGTGAAGGCGCAGACGAGGCTCAGGGCAGCGAGGGTGCAGCGAGACAAAAGCACAGGCGGGAGGAGAGAGGGAGAGGGCCGGAGCGAGGCGGTGTTGTGAGGCGACCCAGCTGCGGGTACAGCGGGGCGGGCGACGGGGCTGCAGTGATGGTGGTGCTCCCGACACACATTAAAACGGTAATGTTCCACTGGCCTGTGTTGTTTACGGTGATGTTGTGCTTCCAGCCCCGTGTAACTCTATTCCCGTGCTCTGCGTGCTCGGATACACTTAGGGTGTGTGCTTGTTACTGTGTAGTGTTTAAGATATGATGCTTTACAAGGGTTCGGGTTTATATTGTTTAAAAAAAATGTGTTTCTGGTATCGTGTGTCTCAGTATAAGAACAGTGTGAGCTTTGGTGCTGATGGTATTTCGAGAACTGTTCTATGGAGCCGTTCTGAGTGCCGCAGTTTTGTATTTTTTTTAATGGAATTATAAGCCTTTAAGCTTAAATGCTTTCCTGTCGTTTCAGAGAATTGGATCGGAGTGAGTTTGATGGATCGCCCGCTTACCTGATTGTTTTATCATATGGTTTATGGTCTAATACAAGGGCACAGCAGAAAAATAAATGACTAAACACTCGGTGATGGCCACGTGATTCATATTCTTACCCCTTTTCCCAAAAGAAAGTGGCTATTGCTGATCGAAAAAAAACAAACATGTAATTAATTGTACATATATAAAGACGTAAACGGTCGTTGTCATATAGTCATACGGAACCTCAAATCTCCCTTAGATATGATATTCACATCTAATTTCAATTACAATACAGATTTTAAACAACTTTACTATCAACCACCAACCACCATCAACAAGTTCTTCTTCGTCCCATTTTCTATCATGTCACCAAATCCGTTTTCTCTCCGCAGCTGAGTCCGCCTGAACCCGCATGACGCGACGCCTGCATAATGCTTCAAGGAAAAATACACTCTGGAATCTTATTCAATTCCTTAAACATTCGAACAAGTTTGGGGGGATGACGTAGCTTGACAGTATGATATACTTGTGTTGCTGTTATTCGGAATTCTTTTCGCTGGGACTCCAGTGTTATCGTTAAAAGGACCATGGGAAAGGATATACTGTTTGTAGTGGCTATTAATTGAGGGAAATACGGCAAAGTTGTACTGTACAATGCGAGATGTGCAACATGGGCGACGCTGCCTTCCATAGGAAACCCTGTACCAACGTATTTAATTTACTTTCATCCGAACTCGTTAGCATCGGGGAAAGCGACTCGCTGTGCGCTGCCCTCCCCTCGCCGTGCGGGATTCCGCCTCGAGACACGGCGCCTCCTGCAAGCAACAGACCAAAGGACAGACGGCATGCTCGGCCCTGCAGTTACCTATGGACACCATGACTTCGTCGTGGGCGCCGTCCCAGGGGAACATCGGAATCCTCCACTTATTGAACACCATCACATGCTCAGTTCGGGAGGCAGACATGGCACGGCCTGCACTCCTGCATCGTCGGCGCGACAACTCTCGCACTCCAGTATGTTTCCATCCTCCGCCGACCCTTGCTGGCTCTCCTCTCACAGAAGGCGGTTTTCAGCGCCCGGAAATATTTCGGAACTGTTCTTTCTGATTAAGAGACTAATAGTCGAGGCGGGAAAATGTTCTCTGCGTAATTCCGTCCCGACACACACACGACCACCTCTCGACGAGCACGTCAGCGTTAGTCCAGTCGCGCACAGCCTCGGGGACGCACAGAGCGGCGGCGCCTCACGAAGGCCGCAGCGAGAGTGAGGGGAGGCGTGTCCCGGCAGGCCGGTCGGGGCCGCCGCTCGCTGCCGCCGCCCGGGGCCCAACTGGTCGTACGGCGGCGGTGCGGGTGCGTGGGAATCAACACCTGGGAACACGTGCACTTGGCGTTGCCCGCGAGATTTTGGGTGTGTTTGCTGCTCCGACAACTGGATCTGTCTGGCCGCGTTCGTTTCGCCCAGACAAAGTTTCTAACCAGCAATTTGCATATGTATAACCTTGGTTGGTTTGCGTTTGATGTAGACGGGCGATGTTAGTGTGGAAACTCGGGAGACCTGATCTACACTTCACAGAGAAAAATAATGACTGAGCGGATATTTACAAGTAAAATAAAACCGAGGAATGTAATGGAATATGCGATGCTTCACAAAATCGACAAGGCTTAAACTCGGCTACAGCCCGATGATCAGCTAAATGCCGCTGTCTATTCACAACACACGGCTGTCGGCCCGGCTCCCTCAGCCTGCCCTTGCCTCGGCTGCTGGCACCGCACACCTCCGTCGAATCACCACCTCTCCCTCCTCTGCCTGTAATGTGGCCACTGCTCGCGATAACAGCTACATTTTGAGAACAACTGCGTGTTTCATAACCATCGACTGACCGTTTCTTCCTACACACTCCCTCCATCCCTAGTTCACTGCCATGTATACACCACAAGTGCGCAGTTACTCTATTTTCTTAATCTTGAACAGCCAGGCGCTCCAGCCATGCCCGCGAGTACCCGAGGCCCACAGGCTGTTCGTCCTTGCACGCACGCTCTCGTTGTATCATAGGAAACGGCAGGCGATGGCAAACCCATTCCGTCCTAAGTAATTCTGCGCGCTGTTTGTGGGTTTCCCAGGGCCATTTTCTGACCCGGTCTACACGTACTGGTCGTTGAGAAATCTCACTGAACTGACCTATGTGGAATATTACTGACAAGAGAAACTGTTACGTTGATGGTACGTTGCATTACGAACCACGCAGGTTAAATATGCACATTTAATGAATACATAATGTTGAAATTACGGTCTTTTGCATACTCGATATATAAAAGTATAACGAATATTCCATGTAGAAATAAATAGAACATCGGTATTACACACCAAACTTGGATACATGACCTTCATCAATACAAACGTTCGAGTCCTTTCTATCGGTTCGGGCGAGTTTTTTTTGTGAGTGTGTGCGCGTGCGTGTGTGTGTATGTGTGTACGTGCGCGTGTGTGTACGTGTGTTTGTGCACGCGCGTGTGGGTACGGTAAGGGCTAGGTTAAGCGCTAATTATACAATCGCCTCTATGAGCGAGTGCAATGTATACGGCATATTGCAATTCCTTCAGCGCGAGTTTTCCCTCCCTGCGCCACAGCTGCCGGATATCGATTCGAAAAGCAGAGCAAATACCGGACCGAAAACTCTTCGACGCGAGCGGGGACCCGAAGACCGAGGAATCCCATACAAATCCCGACAGAAAAGCAAGCAAGGTCTCCCCACAGAAAATAAAATAACCAGCACAGAGAAGAATCTCCATAGAAAAGTAAGAAATCTAAAAAAAAGCTAAGAATCCCCACAGAGAAGCAGGAATTTCCACAGAAAAGTAAGCAAGGAATCTCCCCTGAAAGCCAAGAAATCCCTCACAGAAATCCCTACAAAGAAGCATGTAATCTCCATCAAAATCCCCACAGAAAAACAAGCAAGGAATCCCCACAGAATACCAAGTAGTCTCCACAAAAATTTCTACAGAACAGCAAGTAAATCTCCATAAAAATCCCCACAGAGAAGCAAGCAAGCAATCCCCACAGCATGGCATTTCTTTCCCCAGGCTTTCGGCACCGTCTGTCTCCCCCACACTTCACTTGATGCAAATGAGCGAAGCGGATCTTTGACGCAGAATATACACGGATATTTGTAAGTGTCACCGCTGATGCCAAAGGAATGGTTATTGATGACATCCATGGTACTTCTGATATTATCGAGTTTTTAAACAGCTGATGATGAATACGGCGACGGTGATTTATCCAAGTCTTGATTTCAGCTCTTGGAAAATGAGTTCATTTTTTTGTACATGGGTAATGGCTTCTGCAAACGAAATCTCATTTATTCCTAATACGAACTGTCTACGTGGGAAGGAAAATTAATTCTTCACAGTGTCTTTATTCTGTGGAGGCAGCTGATCCTCCGCGCAGACTTCTTTCTAATGTTGAATGCTCGTGTCCAGATAATCATGAATAAACAAAAAGTGACAAAGAAACGCCGAGATCTCTCGATTCGCAGAAGCATTATCCTTCGCTGAAAACTGCAACGAAACCCCGGGCTCGATGTTCGGGCGGACGGCGTAGAGGCGCAGTTGCTGTGAGTGGCAGCAGCAGGTGCAGGGGGGGCGGCCGCAGCTTATCAAATGTTTTGCTTCTGATCTCGTGACTGAGAAAGCGGCGGGAGATGCTGTTTGTGTCGCCTCCTCGCCCTCCCGCTCGCCTAATCACTGCGCCAGGCTCGGGTTACAGGCCAGCTTGTCCCCGGATTGCCAAGTCCGGGCGAAACAGGGCAAGGAAACGAACCCCAGAAAGTGTGCAGCAACATCGCGATCGGCTAAATACAAGTCCATATACTAGACAGAAACTGACCCTGCCCTTCCGGACGTCGCAAACGGGAGATGAATATGAAGATGACTTAATTCACAGCAGCCTAGACGTGGTGCAGCTGAAGTTACGGTTTTCGGGCGCGAGGCAAAACCAGTGCTTAACTTGGTTCCAGATGGGGCACATTCGCTCCCATCCACGTGTCGTGAAACAGCAAACCCAGCACGTGGATTCCTCATGGCGAAGGGCAGGCTCTCGCAGGCAGGTCATGTGATTTCCTTCGGCCTCCAGAGGTACCGTGTCGCTGAGATTAGCGCACGCCGAATTATGCTAACTAGAACTGCGTGAGAGAAACATCGAAACAGGTCGACGGACACGGGAACTTA